AGCTAAACGAGGACTGCAGCCGGGCGCAGCCCTGCGACCACACCAAGGGGCTGGAGTGCAACTTCGGCGCCAGCCCCGCCGCGCTGAAGGGCATCTGCAGAGGTAAGCGGCTCGCCCTCCGCCTCCCCCCGGGGCAAAACCCCGCTCCCCGTAGCGCCGAAGTTTAGTAATTTCGAGCCCATGTATGGTTATGCTTTGTTGTTGGTAGCTTGGCAGAAGGGCGCATGACTTCAGCGGTCTGGAATGCGATTCAGTGTGTCTGGGCTCCGCTGAACGCACATAAGGAAAAGTGATTCCTGACTAACTTATTGTTCTGGCCCCGCGTCTCCGGGGGGTTGTAGGGAGCTCCGCCGTAAACGGAATTTAACAGACCAGCAAATACCGGCGCTCGAACGAGCGACTCCCGCCGCTGACTCCCTCCTTTCCCTCTCTCTTCGTCTCTGCAGCGCAGTCCGAAGGGAGACCGTGCGAATACAACTCCAAAATCTACCAGAACGGCGAAAGCTTCCAGCCGAACTGCAAGCACCAGTGTACGTGCATCGATGGAGCCGTGGGCTGCATCCCGCTCTGCCCGCAGGAGCTCTCTCTGCCGAACCTGGGCTGCCCCAGCCCCAGGCTGGTCAAAGTGCCCGGGCAGTGCTGCGAAGAGTGGGTCTGCGACGAGAGCAAGGACGCGCTGGATGAGCTGGAAGGCTTCTTCAGCAAAGAGTTTGGTCTGGATGATTCCGAAGGGGAACTAACCAGGAACAATGAGCTAATTGCCATTGTGAAGGGAGGCCTGAAGATGCTGCCTGGTGAGTATGGGCTGGTCGGTGCGACGGTGACAGTTCAGGGGAGGAGGCGGGAGGATGGCCATGCAACTTTGTAGACCCCGATGGAAAGAAAGAAACCCAGTGATGGGAGGCATTTTAGTCTGAGCCCTCCTTTTCTTTTCCAGTTTTTGGATCTGAGCCTCAAAGCCGAGCTTTTGAGAATCCCAAATGCATTGTGCAAACAACCTCCTGGTCCCAGTGCTCAAAGACCTGTGGAACTGGCATCTCCACTAGGGTTACCAATGACAATCCTGATTGCAAGCTCATCAAAGAGACCAGGATATGTGAAGTGAGGCCATGTGGTCAGCCTAGTTATGCATCCCTAAAGGTAAACACAGACTCCTCTGGCGCCCCTCTTCTTCGCAAACCGCTTTGGGTAGCAGATAAAGGCTGGAGAAGAATCTCCTGTTAATAATGTTATTGCCTCTCCTTTACAGAAGGGAAAAAAATGTACCAAGACTAAGAAGTCCCCGTCCCCAGTGAAGTTTACTTACGCCGGGTGTTCCAGCGTGAAGAAGTACCGCCCCAAGTACTGCGGCTCCTGTGTGGACGGCAGGTGCTGCACGCCCCAGCAGACCAGGACTGTCAAGGTCAGGTTCCGCTGCGATGACGGGGAAACCTTCTCCAAGAGCGTCATGATGATCCAGTCCTGCCGGTGCAGCTACAACTGTCCGCACGCCAGCGAAGCTTACCCCTACTACAGACTGGTCAATGACATTCACAAATTCAGGGACTAAGCTGTGTTGGGGGTGGGATGCTAAAGAGAACTCTGAAGTAACCAGCCATGGAAGAAAGGACCTTTGGTGGAGATGGTGCCTTGCCCATTTGAGGGCAACGTTGAGATGTTACATGAGTGCACTGTGCAACTGGACACTAATGCAACAGATTTAAGCATACTTAAAGCTTCATAGTACTGGAGCAACCTTACTGCTTCTTTTTGGAGCACTTTATCTAATTATATACTGTTTTCTGTTTGTAAGTGATCAGATAAATGTTTTGTTCTGGTTATGAAAACTTTTCTATCCTGTTCAATTTAACACTATGCTTCTCCCCCTCCCTCCATCTTCTCCCACCCTTTCCCAACCAAGTTGGAAGCTACATTCCTTCCTGAGGTGGGCACTTGTGGGGTGTTCACAGTGGCAGCTATTATGTACCAACTGTAGTGTAATGGCAAACAGAAATCAGTTGTTTTAAAGCTGAATATTTTATTTATCAAACTGTAGCTTTTTTGTTTTTATTTGAATTTTTTTTTTTTTTACCCCTTCCAGCCCCTGTAATACTGGAATAAGTTGTAAATGATTTTAATTTTATATTCAATGAATTAAAAGAATTTATTTATGGAATTAATCATTTAATAAAGAAATATTTACCTAACTGTTCTTAGTAGAGCATTCTGATAGGCACCAGACTTAAGTACAGTGAATGCAAGAGCTTTCTGTGAAAAATTTGAATTCTGAAAAGCTTAGATTCTTCAAAAATGAAAACAAGCTCTACTGCAGATGCAGCCATGAACCAGAAAGCAGAGTCTAATTCTTTGGGCAAATGACATTTTTGAAGTGGTGTATGCAGTCTGCAACCCCACGCTCCAGAAAGTATGTACAGAAGGATCTTGCTATTGAAAGCAAACATTTGATAGGGAGACCGAAATGTTAATTAGCCTGTCAGATTATTGAAACCATCCCAGAATTTGCAACATAAGGTGCTTCATTAGAATGCAGCGCATGCATGGTGATGTTGAACATTGGAGTGGAAGGGGTTGTCAGGTCTCACATTTTTTGGTGGCTGCTGCTTGCAAATTAATACGTTTCTGTGGCAGAAGAATGTTTCCTACAGTCTGCAGGAGGTAGTTTGCTTTCACTAAATTCAAATTAAATGAGCTTGAAGCAATGACTTTTGTTAATCCTAATAACCCAGTGATGAAAAGTAAACATTCTGTTAACAGGAGAAGAATGTGAGGAATTTCAAGTACTTCTCCAATAGAGTAAAAGCAGCTACTCTTTTCCTCGCCTCCCCTTCCCAATTTTTAAATATGTAATTACACTTTAAACTGTGGGACTCGGATGACATTTGGCTAACCACGGGAGTTGTAAGCTAGCTAACTGGCACATGGTAAGAAAATGACATTTAGAAAAATGAACTAGAATAGGATCTGAGGAAGTGGCATCAAACATCTGTATTGTTCTGGTTAGCAGAAAGCTGTGCTACAGGTAAGCCTGAAAGGAAACCTGCAGCAGGGTGGGTTTTTTTCCCTCTCATTGTGACTGGGTAGCTCTCTGGCAAAATATCCTCCCATAGTCTTTAGTAAGAAAGCTACTTCTCATAAAAATAACCCAGACTGATTTTGAGGTTTTCAGAACTGTGAAGAGGTGCTGTCCAGTGCCATACAGTTAGATGCAGCAGTGGTAGTCAACTTTTTATGAGATTATATAGACATAAATATTTATCTCAATAAAATAAATGGCCAAATACCTCAGAAGCTCATCTCTGGCAGCTACTGCATTGCCTGAGAAATTACAGCCATCTCTCTTCTGCTCAGTCAAGTTCTCTCCCCTGAGGCATTCAAAACTTGAGCTGTTTTGGAATTCACCACCTGACCACCAGTCTCAGCTGTACCTAAACTTGTCTGTACAATATCTGTTGACAGTACAAGTGTAAAAGTCAGTGAAGTGCTTTTGTTTGGCTTCTACTTCCATCCAGCACCAAACGCTTCACGACGTGAGCCTCTGAGGAATCAGCAGTTTACACGCTGGGTGGTTGTGTGGGGAGAGGCCGAGGAGTACGCTGCTCACGGGCCCAGAGCAGCTGCCTGCGCATTCCTCACCCTCCCCTCTCACTTGTGCTGGAGTGACACCCATCTCCAAACCCACCTAAGTAACAGGTCCCTGAAAAATTACAAATACGTGTAACTCTATGATACACACGGACTATATGCTGGTAACACGCACACCATGTACAAACAGACATGGTCCTTTCAACTCCTGCCTAAAGAGTGGCTCTGGCCAGGCCCTGGATTTTACGACCTGCACTTTGGGCTTTCCATTTCATCAAGCAGAGGCGTAGTTCTGTAATCTGCTCACAATAAAAACGTACTGTTGGGAGCGTAAGGGCTGCAGGAGCAGGTCATGCAAACATCAGAGTAAAATATACTAAATTAAATAAATTACCCTGCTATAAGGAGAGGGAATAAACTTCACTAAAATGAACTGCAAAGCTTCCAGAGCTGGGATCTCACCCCATCTGATTATCATCTATACTGTCCTCTCTTCACTTTTTGCATTTTGCAACTACATGGCAAAACTACTAAACCCCACAATTCCCAATACTGTGAAAGGAATCAGTGTAATTTTTTGTGTACCAACTTCGCACTTCCTCTGAAATTTTTATATCCTGTTGTTCCAGCAGAAAAAAAACCCAACAACTTAATAATAGGCATGAAAATAAAAATTATAAAAGCACAGGTTCTTTTAAGTGCAATTGGCAAGGCTTACGAGTTAGGTCAATGAGCACAACTATAGTTTATTTATTGGTCAAAACCTGAAATATGAATGTGCTTCCTCAAGATGCATACTGAAAGACAAGGACTTAGTTACACAATGATGGACCTGCGCTGCGTGCAGCTGCTCCAGGCCGGCAGGCGCCAGGAGAGCCGGGCGCTTGCCAGAGGGCGAGCAGCTCTGCCGCAGCCT